TTCCAACAGGTAAGAAATTATATCTCAGTGTGATTTTGATTTGCATTTCTCTAATCATCAGTGATGTGCTTTTTTTCATGTGCCTGTTAGCTGCATGTAGTCATCTTCTGATAAGCAGCTGTTCATATCCACTGCCCACTTTTTAATGGGATTGTTTGTTTTTTTCTTGTAAATTTGTTTAAGTTCCTTATAGTTGCTGGATATTAGCCCTTTTTCAGCTGCCCAGTTTGCAAAATTATTCTCCCATCTGTAGGTTGTCTGTTTACTCTGTCTATAGTTTCTTTTGCTGTACAGAAGCGCTTTCACATAATTAGAGCCCATTTGTCAATTTTTGCTTTTGTTGCAATTGCCTTTCACATCTTTGCCATGAAGTCTTTGCCCATTCCTATGTCCACAATGGTATTACCTAGGCTGCCTTCCAGGGTTTTTATAGTTTTTAATTTTACACTGAAGTCTTTGATACATCTTGAGATGATTTTTGTGTATGATATAAGGAAGGGGTCCAGTTTCAGTCTCCTGCATGTGGCTAGTCAGTTACCCAGCACCATTTATCGAATAGGGAGTCTTCTCCCCATTGCATGTTTTGTCATCTTTGTCGAACATCAGATGGTTGTAGGTGTGTGGCCTTATTTCTGGGCTCTCTATTCTGTTCCATTGGTTTATATGTGTGTTTTTGTGCTAGAACCATGCTGTTTTGGTTATTGTAGGCCTGTACAGTTTAGAGGCAGGTAGCATTGATGCCTTCATCTTTGTTCTTTGGGCTTAGGTTTGCCTTGGCTATCCAGGCCTTTTTGGGTTCCATATGAATTTTAAAATAGCTTTTTCTAGTTCTATGAAGAATGTCATTAGTAATTTGATAAGCATATCATTCAATCTATAAATTGCTTTGAGCAGTATGCCATTTTAACGATATTGATTCTTTCTACTCATGATCATAGAATGTTTTTCCATGTATTTGTGCCATCTCCGATTTCTTTCAGCAGTGTTTTGTAATTCTCATTGAAGAGATCTTTAACTTCCCTGGTTAGCTCTATTCCTAGATATTTTACTCTTTTTGTGGCTATCATGAATGGGATTGTGTTCCTGATTTGGCTCTTAGCTTGACTGTTGTTGGTGTACAGGAATGTCGGTGATTTTTGTATGTCAGTTTTGTATCCTGAGACTTTGCTGAGGTTGTTTATCAGCTTAAGGAACTTTGTGCTGAGACTATGGGGTTTTCTAAATATTGGCTCATGCTGTCTGCAAACAGGGATAGTTTGACTTCCGCTCTTCCTATTTGTATGCCTTCTATTTCTTTTTCTTGCCTAATCACTCTGGCCAGGACTTCCAATACTGTGTTGAATAGGAATGGTAAGAGGACATCCTTGCCTTGTGCCGGTTTTCCAGCAGAGTGCTTCCAGCTTGTGCCCATTCCATGTGATGTTACCTGTGGGCTTGTCATAGATGGCTCTTACCATTTTGAGGTATGTTCCTTCAATACCTAGTTGATTGAGGTTTTTTGTTTGTTTGTTTGTTTGTTTTTTTTAAGACAAAGTCTTGTTCTGTTGCCAGGTTTGAGTGCAATGGTGCAGTCTCGGCTCACTGCAACCTCTCTGCCTCCCATGTTCAAGTGATTTTCCTACCTCAGCCTCCTAAGTAGCTGGGACTACAGGTGGCCACCACCACGCCCAGCTAATATTTGTATTTTTAGTAGAGATGGGGTTTCACCATGCTGACCAGGATG